TTTGTTTCAAAAAAATACCACCTCCTCACTGACAGCTGCACTCCTGGTCCTCAGCCCGCAGAGCTGTAGAAGTGGACGGCGTTTTTCTCTCTGTAGGTTTATAAAATGTGGGGGGGGATGTTTGAGGTTTGGCATGGATGATCCTAAATGAGGATGTCTGAGAAATACAGAAATTTGGTGCTGTTTAAGATGGAATGTGATGCTTTCCATGTGGGCCATCTTCTCGCTGTCCAAACAAGGCAGACATGCCAGTTTTCCCAGTGGATTCACTTCCCACCCCCTGCCCACTTTATGCCTTTAAATAAACAGCTGTATGATGTCAGAATTTGAGAACAAACTTTCAGTCTTCTCTATTTCTCTACACTTTCAAGCTGTTATTATGTTCTTGACCACAAGTGCAAGCAAGCACAGATGTGTTTTTGGTTGTTCCTAATAGCCTTGTGTACATTTCTAGCATTGTCTCAGATGTCCAGATTTCAACATGTCTGTCTGCATGGTGCCCCTTAATGCTACATCACTTCCTTATTTTCTGAATGGCCTTTGTTCAGGGTGCGTTGCTTCCACCATCTCTTGTGGGGTTTGTTAGCTTGTCTGAAATCTTTGGCACATGGCTGAACATTATAATAATAAACCTAAGTGCTGTGGGGTGGCAGTGTTTGGATAGGGAAGAAGTGGGCCGCCACCCTATCCCTTAATAGTCCACTGGCCCGGTGTGTGTTCACACAAGCTTTTGTGTGTGTGTGTGTGTGTGTGTGTGTGTGTGCCTGAAAGCCTGCACACACTGGACCTCATTTATCCTCATTTCTTCTTCTCTATTTCATTGCCCTTCCCAATAGGTATCTAAATTTATTTCCTGCACCACAGCCTATTTAATGTAACCTCCCGACCACTGCAAGCTGCCGCTGTAAACTCGCTGCATGCCGTGATACCAAAGATGCACAACTGCACAAGCTAATATTGTGTTATGAATGTAATGAGGCTATAACTCTCCAGCAGTTTAGTTTGATGTGTTTACGAGGTCCTGGTGTCTTAAGTAAAGACCATAAATTTCTGCAAAGGATTGCCTGCAATGATTATTTGAAATTTTGGTCAGAATGTTCTTGATCAACTGTTTAATAGTTAAAGCTATAAGCTATAAGCAATGTTTTAATAATGCATCACATGTTCATAAGCATCATTTCCAGCTAAAAAGTTGTCTGTCCTCCTTTCAACAAAGTTAGCTGGTGAACGTAGTGAAGCATGTATCAGCTTAAAAGCTACACTTTTGTCTTATGACCTGCAAAACAGGTCTAAAAAGAGAGTGAACACTGGACCTTCATCAGTTCATGGACACAAACACAGCTCCAAATGAATGCTAATGTTGCGCCATGTTTGCTGCCCCCAAGTGGCCAGAAATGTGTAAAAAATGTCAAAAACAATTACAAATGCCCATTAGGTTATCAGAAGTCAAAACAGAAATTTAACTTATATCTTAACTGTTGGTATTTTTACATGTTGTTTCTGTGTCTACAATCTGGTCACAATAAGAATCTCTGTAATATGTCATGCATTATTTGTTATACTTGGTAATTAAAGTAATCCTTCTTTTTAATTATAGTAAATAGTATTGTTACAATAGATTCAGATGATTTTGTCTAAACAGGCTCAATCGTACATTTCTCTATGGGATACTGAACCATGCCACTCGTTTTTTTTTCTTTCTTCGTCAGATGGGAGATCGTTGGCCCTCCTCCCTACAGATTAAACCTAAATCTCTGTTTTCTTTTCTCTCATCTGTCATTTGTCATTTGTCACCAGTTTCAGATTGTAGAAGATATTAACTTTCTTTGAATGTCCTATGAACACTATCCAAGACACCCACAAACACTTAGATATATAGATCAACTGAAAGAACGGACATATGCATAAAATCTACACTTCTTTTATGACCTACTTTATTGTTATATGTTCAGCGCCTTGGGAACAATAAAAATCCTTTGTGTTGTGACTTTGTAGGTGGATGCAGATTTGATTTGGTAAATAGAGATGAAAAGAGGGATAATGTAAAGTAGGGACGATTGATTCTCACGTTTTTTACAGATTGAGTTGTTGCTTAAGAGATCTACTGTACTAGCCCAAATATTAGAGATATAATTTAGTCCCTGGTTTGTTTCTTTAGTTGACGCTGGGGGACTCTTTTTAATACATAATTTCCATTTTAAAAAAGAAAAACCCCAAAACCATCTCTTATATTCAGGCTTATGCAATATTTTTAGAATGCCGTCTTGGCTCTACGTTGTTTCCATACACAATTTATAGATACTTGAGGATAAAATGATCGATCAGATATGTCTCTGATTCGTAAATGATAAATGTATTGCTCGCACCCACCCCTGTTGTAAAGAAGCACTTAATGTGGACCTTCCTAACACTTGAAATGACACTCTGTTACCTGTTCAATCAATCACCATTTCAAACAGAAGGGCCTCTATTCACTGCAGGTGCATTATCTGCTTTGAACTGTCATGGAAACAATTAATGTCTACTTCAAAGGAACTTTCTGAGAAAGGTTTAACTTGTACGAATTCTTTTAAGTTGGCTCTTTCCCCCCAAATAAATTGTCTTTTACTTTCTGGTGGAGAAGAACAAGAGAATTCTTTACTCCTCCACTTTATTGATTGTTGATTGATTTGTGGGTCAGTTAACATGTCATATCGAGGTTTGGTGGTAATGAAGGCTGTCTTTGAAGGTGCCCCGTTCAGCAGATGAATAATGTAATGAAATGGTAATCCCAATGCCGCCCTCTACTCTCTTTCCATTCAGTGCACATGCTCCTCTTTCTCTACCTCTGCCTCTGCTGTTTGGTCTTCCTTTAATGAGGATTATCCCCTTCACTGTGGAATAGCAGGTGAGGGTAGCGGCCCGCTTAAGTAAACACCTGTTTATGATCTGTGGGTTGATTGTCTGCCTTTAAAACAAACAGCTATTAAGGCATTACTTTAGTATATACTATGGCTTGGCACTATCACAGTGCAACATTTTAAAAGCCGTCTTAAAGCCATCTGGATTGAGCTACATTACAATGTGGGAAGCCACAGTGTCCTCGGCACTTCCATCTGTCTGTAACATGCTAATACAGTATGTTTGGCACAGATGGAAAAGCTGCAAGTTTGTTTAGCTTTAAGTAAAGCCAGTACAGTTGCAGTAACCCTGCAGGCAGTTGGTAACGTTAATTTTAGCAAACATCCTGCTGATAAAACAGGATACGCATTAACCAGTTAGCTGCTACTCTCACTCTCAGTTTCAGCTCCAACCACAGTTCACCACAACCCTATGAGGTTTTAACTGCATATCCATTCTGGTGGTGTTTCCCTCAATTTTCTTTTCAATATTGATTCACATGTTGTTTTTATTTCCATTTTTTAATCCAAAAATGATGCATAAAGGATTTATATTACATAGATTACTAGAAAGCAGTCAGAAAGTACATGTCTCTAAACAAAGTTGTTGTCTTAAATTAAAGAAATTCTTATGTATGTATGTTAAATATGAAGCTACTGCCAGTTGCCGGTTAGTTTAGTTCAGCATAAAGACTGGAAACAGGGAGCCAGCTAACTTGGCTCTGTTTAAAGGTAACAAAAATCCACCTAGAAGTTTAGTAGTATTAATATCTGGTTTAATACATAAAAAAGTCACATTGTTGTTTTACTGGGGGCTATGTTCTAGATTATTTCGTGGCTGAACACAGTTCTGGGTTCAGTTCAAACTTCCAAGGGGTGACAACCTTGATGTTGAACTATTCCTTTAAAATATATTAGCAACTGTTATCTGACAAACAAACAAATGGGACAAAGAACACAAAATAATCTCCTTGGAAGAGACCAGGTGGTTGTCAGTTTATAGACATCCATTGCAAATTGCGATACCAATCCATTTAGGCCAGTAAGAGATTCATAATGTAACATTTATTTGACTTCACAGTCCTACTAACAACATTGCACCTGTCTGTCTCTGAAAACTGTGAATAATTCATGCTTACCTGGAAATATAATCTCTGAAGGCACAACTGGCAATTAGTCCAATGCTTCGGTTCTGCAGATATTTATGAAATTTGGTTACACTTTAACATGAGAAGGGACACCTTGAAAAATTGGCCCGGAAGGGAGAGACTGAAACTTGCAGAACTAAAGTTGGGAAGTTGTTTTTCCAGCACCATATGTTGCCATTATTTTCTTCTTCTATTAGTGTCAGTGGTCCATTCTACCTGACATGATATTTGTTTGCTGAAAATATGATAGTGCCAAATGTAATCTAATGTAATATCTTTCAATTTTATAACCTTTCACGGCAGGACTGTGAATAGCCAGTCTGAAATAATGTCTGTCTGCTCGACTCACCTCTGCCACTTTTCATGGTCCTTTCTCATGCTTTTCTACTTAAATATTGCTTCACCACTAATACACCAGTTTAATGAACTGCAGATGGACGCTCTCATCTTCCAGATGGTGGCAGTGTGCGTCTCACCTTTTTGTCTCTTTAGATGTCAAGGCAGAATTTGATCCAAAATCTGTTTGTTTTATTAACATTTTTCTTATGTCCTTTGTGTAACACAGGTCATTTTTCACTTGAAAACTGTATTTGTCTTTAGTTTAAACCTCACATGACCATAGAAAATGACAAAAACTTGCTGTGAAAACCCAAAGACCTTTGCGGTGAGCCACAAACATGTAAAAGAATCAACAGTACCGATTTGACTATACTTATGGGATAGTTGTTTTGTGAACTGCAGTTTGGGCTCGGTCTTCACTCTTGTTGACATGGAAAATCCCCTCCGTCTCAACCTTCCTCCATGTAAAGCTTTTTTGCCGTCAGATGACTCAGATTTTCCTCTTTTTCGCTGACTTCTATAAACACACATGTCACATTTCAGGTTTTCCAACTCTCCACAGTGGTAGTAGTCTCACTGCTTCGCTTCTGCTGATTCAACAACATGCATTTTTTTTTGCTTTTTATCCCCGCAGTCTGATGGAACAGAGAGACGAAGAGAGAATGAAGATCCGCTCACCAGTGTGAGTTCCTGGGATGCTTGACCGACCTGTACCCCATGCTTTTCTAAGGCCTCCAGAAGCTAAAGACAGGGTGTCATTGACAGGTAAGTGGAGCCCTTTGGACGAAATGTGGTTTCAATTTGAACAAACTTTGAACTTTTTGGCTGTTTGCTGACGTGAAACAGGACCTTCCAGTTTGGTTTTATGCAAACATTTTCCGACTACTTCGCTCACAAAGTTGCTTCTTTTAAATTGTGTTAATTCTCTGACATCTGAAACCATTTCTGGTTGAGACTTTATTGACGTTAAAGAATTGGCTGCAGCTTGCCGCACACATAACATTGTGCATCCTAATATGTGTGCATGTTAACACATTCCTGCTGTGTGGGAGTTCGAAACAGATCTTAATCACGGATAGAGTTTTGCTGTAATTCCAGAGCTGGAGGCGTAACCCTAATCGCTTTGGCGCATTATACAGTAAATCAGAGTGTGGGTAAGTCGGGTCCCTGCCAACTCAATACAACCATCCCATTTCTGTGGATTTATGACTGGACTTACTAGGAGTAGTTATTTCAATCTACAAAGCTCCCTCTGCCTTCTCTTCATTTGTGTCTAAAACAGATGAACCACCCCCTGCTGAGTGCTAAACCTTCGCACTAGTTTTATTTCGGAGGTGTTCCTGGATTGCTTTGTGCCATGGTGGATTATTTTGGAAGTAAGCGGTCCGTAGGGCCTGCTGGTCTTGCCCAGTTTTAGCTGCAGTGTCCAGGGGGAAAGATGTCCCCACGCAGAGGCAGCGCGGACATTGATGGATGGCCTAGCTTTCTGTCGGTTTCTGGTCCCAGACGTGAGGCGTTGTTATGAAAATATAGAAGGAAGCAGGCTGACGGGCCGCAGAGAGATGGCAGCTCGGCCTATGATGGATGATCACCTGCTGGGCATCTGCTATAGATACAGATAAACTAGAATTGTGGCCTCTAAGGAACCACTTTCAATGTTCGCCAGGAATTGGCCCAAAGAGGGCACTCCTAAACGTTTGTGTATCTCGGTTGGATAATAAACTTTATATGACTGAGGAGGATAAACCAGAAACCACCAGACAGATGTACCCAACATTACTGCAAAGCCACTCTGGAATTATTTGTTTTAACTGGAATTTTACTTTAATTTTCCTCATGGTTTTCCCTTGGCTATCCTGCAGACAGGGAAGGAAGCCACAGAGTTGTCATTTTACTTTGCTTCTTCGGCCTGTAAATCAACTCCCTCAAAAGGGGCTGAGTCATGTTAGGCCCCCCCCCCTAGTCTATAAAGAGGTAGTGTTAATGGTGGCATTCACAGAGGTGATTTGCAGCCTGCCTCTTTATCTCAGCGCTGGTGGCCTCGAGGCGGCTGATTGATGGTGTTTGTCGTCCAATCTTGGACCCTAACTGAGAGTGGTTTCTGTTGCTTCGGCTGCAGCGGGCCGGGACCTCACTTGTGGCATATTCAGTGTTTCTCCAGACCTCCCATTGAGACGTGACCAAGAAGGACCTTGAACTTCCTGACGTCTCATTGCCTGAAGGACAAACTCCGTGCCCACCAGTGTGACCCAGTTATAGGAGAAGGGAGAGAGGGAGTCGAAAAGAGAAAGGGAGAGGGACAGATCTGTGTTTGTGTGTGTGTAAGGCAGTGTCAGGGCATAGCCTACTTCTCGTACCCTACTTTACCCCTCTCTTCATCTGGGAGCCGAGCAGCTGAGCTCCGACTTCACCATCTTGTCCTGTTGTTTCCTTTATTTTAATTCATTTTGGCCAGATGGTGGATTACAGGTCAAGGCAAAAGCTACCACTGTCATAAGAGAATACTCTTGTGGAAGACTCTATTTGTCACACTTCAGTGTATAAGAGTTTACAGATTCAAGGTTTAATCAGGGCACAAAGTCATTAAGGAATATGTGTAAAACAAATGTATCCATTTGATGTCTAAACTTACAATTCCATAAAGCTACACCAATCAGTATTTTCGTTTTATATTTTTTTATATTAAGAAAGTATCAAATCCAAGTCCAGTGTGTAACATTTAGGATGATTTATTGGCAGAAATGGAATATATATTATACGTAATAATCGCCTGAAAATAAGAATTGTTGTGTTTTCTTTGCTTTAGGATGAGACGTTTTTATTTACAGAAGCCGCTGGTCGCCTTCCGTGGCAGCCGTTATGTTGAACCGCCATGTTTCTACAGCAGCCCAGAATAGACAAACCAAACCGATAGGGGCATTTGCATTTCTTGCACGTTTCACGGCCACCGTAGTTTCTCTATGCACTTGGAAAGGGAGGGAGTGAGTTACAATCTGCAAATGCACCACTAGATGTCCCTAAATCCTACACCCTGGACCTTTAAGGACCTTTTGGCCCCCCAGGAGTTGTTAGACATGTTATTTCATAATGTTATTATTAAAATGCACTTGCCGTTACCACCATTAACCACAGGCGTAAGCAAATTTACCAGGACTTCTTTCATATTTTCTTTTATCAGACAATTTGGATTGGAGATGCACTCCTTTTTACCTCTGATATATTTGATAGGTGTACCTCCTTTCATTCAGACAGACGGCTTCTTTAATTAAGAATTTGCTCAGTAATTAACTGTAATTCTTTTCTGAGCTTTGGGCATGTGTCTGTCAGTTTCTTAAAGATCAGATTGACAGATGAGAAGCAGAAATGCAATTAAGATTCATAAAATAGTGTCTCATTATAAAATGTGCATACCCTGAATCCCCACACCTTCCAGATTTTTCCTTCTTTAGTTTTTGTCTTTAATTCAATTAGATGAAGAATCAATTTTAAAGCGAGATGATATCCTCTTTCTTGTTACTCTCCATTGCTTTCTGCTTGAAATAGGCAGGGAAAGTAGAAAGGTCTTTAACTGACAGCTCGCCTTTCCCCAGCTTTCTGTTTCTTTCTCCTTTCTCCTCTTTTTACTGCTTGACAAAGGCAGTAGAGGACTTTGCAGAGTGTAGTTTCTTTGGTCAAAGGAAATGGTAGAGGAGGAGTGGGGCAAGGAGAGAGGAGGTGTATCTGTCAGAGAGAGGCTGGCTGGGCTGTGCTAAGGAGGAGGAGGAGGTGGGAGGAAGGGGAGGGGACTGTGCTCTCATTCACATTGGCGGCATTTGGCTTGAGAATGAGCTGTTTCTTTTCTTTTTCTTTTTTTTGAGAGGGTTAGAGAAGTTTTCCTCAGGAGGGCTGGTGAGAAACTGAGCCAAACATCCAAGAGAACGGGAACATTAGTGAATATTTGAGCCGACTAAACCTGAGACGCTGAAGGAGCTAAGGCTGGGTGATAAGAAGGAGCTGGTCAGATACCAGAGCAGATATGCAGGGGACAAACTGGGGTAAGAAACTCGGAGGGAAGGAACGTTGGAGAAAAGGGAAGTTGACATTATTACTTTCGCAATCGAGGTGACAGGGATGGGTGATGCTAGCTGACTTGTACAGTCACTGTGAAATAACTTGTTGCTTTATAAAGATGTGTAAGTTCATGTGTGCAGGTTTATTGCATGTTTATGTGATCAGAAATCCAGTCCAAAGCTGTGAAAGGAAATGGAAATGATTAAAACTGCAATTATTTATTTAGGAACTAATAATCACACAATTGTGACAATTTGCTGATTTCTTTGTCATATATGACAGTAAAGTGAATCAAGTGTTGGATTTTCAACCAAAATAAGCTAATTGAAAACATTGCTGTGGCCTCTGAGAAGTTGTGAATTTTAAAATTATTCATTTATCAATCAAATTAACCATTAATTGCAGCCCTAGAAATAATAAAGTATAAAATTGACGAGCTGCATTCGACTGCCATTGATCTCTCTTCTGTTACTGTTACTGTTGAGGACATAATCCAGAAGAGTGAATGTGTATGTGTGTGCGCGTGTGTGTGTGATGGGGGAGTGAAAGGAAGCCTCTGCTCTCTTTCAGTGCAGTATAATCATTGACAGTGTCTAGTGCATCAAACAAACCTGTAGGCCATCATGAGAAAGATGCATTTTCTTTGTATGTGGGCTGCCACTTCTATTACCACAGTCCAAAGGGGCTTTTAAGTTATTTGACCTTTTATTTACCAGGAAAGTCACAGAGGTCCTGTCCAAGAACGGCAGCAATAACATTTACTTACAGACAACATTAACACAGATAATACAAACTGGATTTATACCCTGTAATAAGTTAGTTGATCAGTATGACAAGCAATACTTGTTTAAGTCATTTATCAAGCAAAAACACCAAACATT